CTGACGGTTTCGCAAATCAAAATTATAGTTTCTCAAAGCTATCTTGAAATGGTATAGTACTGTACGATTGCGATGAAACCGAACTTTGCTTCACTCACGTCGGGGTCCGTTCATCTTACACAATAATGTGCAGAGTTGATTGGGTGAATTTTCAGAAGGGCATCGAATTTCGGATAAACGGTAGGCAGGGCACACTGACATGCACACAAACATACTACCATCATTTCCCAACAGCAACGAATAGTTCGTTTTCAAATTTATCAAAACGTTAACAAACATTTGCATTAGCCTGGTCCGAACGAGAATTTTATTGCAAGGACAGACCAACGGTGTGATGCGTCAATCCTCCCAGATGACGCCAGTCAAGCGCCTATGCGTTCCAGTTTCTGAACATTGGGTCATGGACCATCAGTATCGATCAATTAATAGTTCAAACAGAAACCGGGTGACTGGAAGAACAAGGACGGTGATTGGTTGATATTCATTAGACCAATAATATTTCCATTTTATACATTATTTATTCCCATTTATTTCTCTCAATAAATGAACTGCTACTTTGTGACCTTTTTTCTGTGTCTTGATGACGGGAAATTCTAGCGTACAATGGCAAGTGTGCTTCAATGCTTCAGTTGCGATCGTGATTCGTGATACCTAATCCGTATCTACTTCGATTTGCACACCATGTCCTCAACTGTGTCGTCTCGTGACCAACAAAATGTAGCTGTATGTTTCCCTTAGTTTAATAGCCAAACGCCACTACACAAAGTTCAAAATACCGACGACAAGATTTCACCGCTTCGTATCCCACATTAACTACGGCCCATGGCTCGCAAACTGTGGCATTTGGCTCTTAACCTGTAGTATTTCGTTTAATGTACACGGAGGAAAGGACGCCTGACTTACCCAAGCACGATGCTGACGTCGGGATTCTGACACACTGGTGTTCGAAGGAGTAAACGGCCGTGTTGGTGCAACGAGCCGAGTTCGACTGGTCGTATAGACAGCAAAATTGTTCAATGTGGTCTTGATGCTGGTATTCAGACGAATATGATCTTCCATGTTCCAAATCTCTGAACGAACCAGACGCAATTCAATGGGAAGACCTTGAAAGGACTGGAATTGAAAAGGCACAATGTAAAGTGTGTGTGTGTTTTGAAAACGACTCATGAGGCATTACGATCTGTGCAGATCACAGAACTATACAACTATCGATCCTGTGTGTGCATGTGTGCTTCCGTAAAACAGTTTGCCGGTCAATTCATCGGTCAATGGGCATCACTTAGTGTGAGTGTGGGGGTGGGGGTGNATTTGTTTATCTGTGCGAACGACACCATGTGAGGATCTGGCGGGTTTGTCAGTACACGATCGATGCCATCCAGTCAGTGTAACAGAATGGTAGATCGGGGAGAAATGTCGACAAAATGGTGTAGTTCTAATTGATTCTTTGAGACAGTTTAGCGGGGCGGGGGATGTATTTGTTTTTTGAGAACCAACGTGTCACTCTCAGTGTGAAAAAGCTTTGAAAGCACTGTACAGCTGCTCCATACTTGTTCAGAGTCATAGACTGTGCATATTCACCGCATTGACCAGGATTTGAGCGCGGGCACGAGAGAATTGTTAATCCAACGCGTTAATCATTAGGGTTATTCGATCTGACTCCCGGTGGCTTACTTATTTACTTACACATCAACACTACCCGTAACTTAAAAAAAAACGCCCTGATGCATAAATACCCATCAGGAAAATGCAATGGCTGGACAGGAAATGTGCCCTGTGTCATGACAACAAACGTAATCTCCCAAATAAACCAGTTATTGCCCATGAGTGACACCTTGTATAACGTGCTTTCTTGGCTATTTACTAAGGGAGAGTTTCGATTCAGCTGATAGGGTGAGTAGCGGTATAATCCGGTTGGCAAGCCGATCTGAGGAGGCTCGGGGAAATCGGAATTCCAAACTGACCACGTAGGAAAATGTACAAAGTGGATCAACGACATTCCGAACACCCCAAATTCATCGATTTAGTCCAAAGGGAAAGATGTACTGCCCATCATGAACGTGTGAATATAAGCCATGCATCGCGTGATCTCACCGACTGCAAATGGTCACCTGCTCCACCCAATGACCTTGAACTGCCAGATTGTTCGACCGGGGATTCACGACAAGGTTTTCTTTAAATCCACAATCCACAACACTAGCTTAGACGATGGACTGCAGCTGCTCATAATATATTCAGCAAACGAATAGTGACTTTTAACGTTCTATTTATTTATGTTCGCATAATTTTTTGTGTACATGACAGGGTGTTTCAGTGGGCCACATAAGACACACTCACCTTGGTCGCTAAATTAACCACAGAACCAATGTAGTGTATACACTGTTCCAGGTTGTGATCGAACGCAACGAACTGTACGCCCCAGTGGTTTCCAATGTGCCAGCATATTTGATGTGTCGGATGTCAGTGAACGAGAGAGAAAGAGAGAAAGAGACCATTGAGGAAAGCTGGGAATGGCGAACGGAAAACAAATGACTGAACAAAATGTTTCGTCGATAACAAACAATTTTTGAGTCGGACAACGCAAATTTCACACTATGAATCGGTAAGAAGCATGGTAATGAACTAATAACATCACCCTCAAATGCGAGTTCATCGTTCGGATTTAAAAAAAAAACGCACAAATGGAATACTTTTGTGATCGAAAATGCAATCAGCCCGGAACACCGCTGGACTTGAGCGATTGAATATGAATACTGCGAGATATCATACAGTGACTGTTCAATTGTGATCGGTGGAAACACGACAACTACAGCAGTAACCGTAGTGCAAGAAACTAGGAATCTGTGAGCAAGTGTTTACAATGAGGTTGACGACTCTGACCTCGAAGGATATGTTTTAGAAAAAACTCTATCCACTGGTAGAACAAAAATAGAAAGAATTCGATCCGATAAAGATTGATATATGTTGTAATGTGCATTGAACGTATTCGAACTCAATAATATATGCCTGTTGTAGTGATTGGATCGCAGACACAGACACTTCGTTTACAGGAAGCAAGAATGAATGCATATACATGTGTTTTGTTGTTGTCTTTTGACTGGATGATCACTTTTCATCAAACGAATCCCAGTGAATTCGGTTATGTTTGTATACCTACTCGTACTTGTACTTTTTGGGTTTGTGGAAGATCACATCCACTTGAGTGCGGATTACTCGGCCGCCTGAGTGGGCTCTGTTGGCCTCGTCTCCTAGTTCATGCGTTGCAATCTGCGGCAATGTTGATGCACTGTGAAATTCAGTTGTTTTGGATGAAGCAGGCACATCCGAAGCCAATTGAAAATTTACCTCCAATCGGACTGCACTGATCCATACCTTTAGCTGCGCTTTCGAGACAACATTTCCCAGCTCTGGATAGGGTTTCAGCAATAGACTTTTCCTTGTGAGTCCTGTTTTTCTGCCCAGTGAAAACAATGACCGCATCAGAAACATCGGATAACGACGGACATTCTCACAATAGTGAGAAGTAGAGTTTGCAACCCTGTCATAGCATCTACTTTTAGCCGCATATCTGAAGCTACACTAGACGAAGATTTCCATTTTTACTTCCCGTAACTACAGATACCAGTCTCAGTTCTTCATCTATTCCACTTACTCTTCCCTTATCATTGATGGACCAACTGGGCAAACGGAAAGACAGCAACCAGAAACGGGAACATGACAACACAACGTGAATGAATGTGTAGATTGGGAATTAGAACAATGAATTCGGTGATTGTATATGGTTGCCAATTGATATAGCGGAAAGTGAAATCACCTATCCGAGGTTGATTAGAGTATGACGAGTATGACACTCTACGAAATCCCTATCTGGATATATATGAACATTGAAACAGGGGCAGTGGAATAGGGAGCAGGGACGGACGGGGGATGGTGCAGGGGGGGGTGGATGGGGGTGGATGGGTGTTTAGGGGAACTAACCAAATTATTGTCTAATATCACAGTCATTCGAACGGTATACTGTTGCTCGCCAACTTTCTTCATCCCGTGAGCTTTTGTTGCTAATACATCAAACGGTTGCCAGAATACTGGTAGTCGAACATCTGAATTGAGATTAGGAAAGATAAGAAGTTTTATTGTCACGGATAACACAAGACAATCACATTGAAAAACACGATAAAAATGAATCCAATTGATGTGACCAACAATGACAGGTTTAGAGGGAGAAAGGATGAGCAGTGGTGGTGGTGGTGGTGACGGCAGCGCCGGTGAGAGTACAACTGATCACTACAAAACGAGCATTCAAATACACCTGCGTGGCGGCGTCCTCCTCAATCACTAATGAATGGATATTCGAATCGAATTTGGATAGAACATCAGTTAGTTACCCGACGACCGGGTGAATGATAACGTGTAACTACATCGATGGATCCAATTGCGAAAGACATCATATTGTGACACATTCCATTTGTTTGAAACACAAATTGCGCGTCTGTGTGTGTGAAAGAAATCAACTTCTCCTCACAAAAGATGAACACCAGTCTCCTGATGCCTCCATGTCAAATAGACTCTGGATTATGAGAATAGAGGAGGATTTGATTTGTTTGTATGATGAATTCGTTGAGTAAATGAGGCGTGAGCTGAAAAGCTAGGAAGCACTGAACAACTGTTTCCACCTAGTTCGGTCTCGTCCACGCAGTGCGAATCCATCGACCCAACTGGGGATCGAACCCGGGACCTCGCAGGTAGAACGAAAGCCAAT